GCAAATCTAACCTTTAACTGAAAAAATGTAGGTCAATGCATCCAACTAGTTGATCATCTGCAATACGAATTTCAACCGTATATAAATTTTCCAATCTGTGTAAACCCGTGATCAAAATAATGTCGTTTTAATAGTTTAAAGAACAACAAAATAGTGCACATGAACCCTTGACCTTTCGAATAAATTCTTTTATAAAAAAAAAAAATTAGATTCCTCACAATTCCTCGATTCAGCTGACACCATTTACGGCCATCATCTGATTAGCTCACAAAAAAAGGAAGATATATAAAATGTTTAGCTAATTTATTTTTCCAAAAGATAAACCAATAAAGCAAACCAAATCAATTTCCAAATTTTCAGGGTTACATTATCCGGTTTAGTAACCTTGTTCGTCTTCGATTTAGCAGACCGGTTTAAGGATACAATCGTAATTCTACGTGCCGAGGACGAATTTGCAAACAACAAAAAAATCAATCAATTCAAAGTTTTATCTTCTTGGCGTCGATCTCTGCTTCGATTTCATCTTCAGATCTCTCCCTCGACAAAATCTTTGAGATCTGAAATATCTCCGGAACAACAAAAGGAGAGAAAGATGTACGGATTCGAGGCGCTTACATTCAACATCCATGGCGGATACTTGGAGGCGATCGTCAGGGGTCACCGTGCCGGGCTTCTAACCACCGCCGATTACAACAATCTGTGCCAGTGCGAAAACCTTGACGACATCAAGATGCATCTCTCTGCTACAAAATACGGCTCTTACCTCCAAAACGGTGCGCGTCCTTTCATATGATCCGTCGTCATGTTATCGTAATTTGACTCAATTGTGTAATGGGTTTTGATTATTTGACCTCGATTTCGTTTCGTCTCATCGATTCTCGCAATCAAAGATAGATAATTGCATATGGGTTCTGGGTTTTAGGCATCTCCCAATCCCCAAATTGATTTGAGAATTAGTGAAATTTCACGATGACTCTGGTGTGAGATTGGTCTCCGGTGGTAGTTTTAATTTGAATGTCATTTATCTTCATTAATGGATCTGGAATCTGATGTTTAGACGAGACATTCATTTCTTGAGTCTCAATTATCTGGATTTCTTGTAAAGACATTCATTTTCTAATTTGCGGCTACAGAACCGTCACCTCTGCATACAACCACAATTGTGGAGAAGTGTACGCTCAAGCTTGTTGATGACTATAAGCATATGCTTTGCCAAGCAACTGAGCCAATGTCAACCTTTTTGGAGTACATCAGGTACGTGAGATTTTGATCCCCGTTTCGTAAAACCATGATTTTTTTTTTGTGGCCCTTTATTTGGTTTCCAGAATTAAGGTTGGTAGTTTTATTAGTATTTACCTGTGCCAAAATTCTTCTCAATGTACGTCATAGTGTAAGATTTGTTGCTTGCTGAAGTTCCACCTTTACCGAGATCTCAACGAAACTGAGCAAATATTTGTTTCGCTATGTTGAAGGGAAAGATTATGATCATTCTGTTTTATTTTAAATGATAGCGTAGATTGTTACCCTGTTTGTTCCCTGGATTTAGTTTAGTATATGATCTATCATTATAAGATCTGTCCTTTGAGATATTTGGTTTGTATTTTCATATTGTAACCCAGATATGGCCACATGATTGATAATGTCGTGCTGATTGTCACTGGAACCCTGCACGAGAGAGATGTTCAAGAGTTGCTGGAGAAATGTCACCCTTTAGGCATGTTTGACAGGTACCCGCATTGACCTTTTGCATCTTTTATTATACCTCTTCCCGTAGCTGCTTTAGCCCTTTTTCTGTTCTCCTTTCTATGTTTTTGCTCATGGTTTCGCTTTTTCAGTATTGCTACACTGGCAGTTGCTCAGAACATGAGGGAACTTTATAGGTTGGTGCTTGTGGACACTCCTCTTGCTCCATACTTTTCTGAATGTTTAACCTCGGAGGTAAAAAGCTGAAGAAT